AATCCCTGCTCCCAGTCCCCTCTTCCCCACATTGCTCTAGGTTTCTTAAACCACATTCCTTGAAACACGAATCCCTGAACTGCTCTGAGAAAATGAAGGTTTCAGGGAAATGCTGTCGCAATTCTCTGCGGCAGGTTCATAATCCCACTCCCAACTTAAAGGGTCTCAGAAGTCCTACGAAGAAGCAGCCTGCTTAGCTTTGGTGAACCAGAAGAGCCAAATCTTTTTTCATGTCAGCCTGCTGATCATCCAGGTTGGGCTGTCGCAATTCTCTGCGGCAGGTTCATAATCCCACTCCCAACTTAAAGGGTCTCAGAAGTCCTACGAAGAAGCAGCCTGCTTAGCTTTGGTGAACCAGAAGAGCCAAATCTTTTTTCATGTCAGCCTGCTGATCATCCAGGTTGGGAAGTGTTGCTCTGTGCTCTCCCGACCCTGGGCTCACATCCCTACCCCTGTGTGGCCTCTGCTTACTCATGGTTCACACTTCTCAGCTGGATGCAAAATGTGGGGTGGTGCCTGCCAGGTTCACTGGAGGGAAGGTTTAGAGGTTCAATATTTGTTGTTCTGGGCTTCAATTCCCACTTCAAAGTTAAACATATTTCAGAACCAAAAAGTTAAAAAGTACCCTCAGTTTCCTATAAATGGTAGTTGGACAGAGGTTCCTAAACTTCGTTATATGGTAGAGTCACCTCAGGGTCTTGAAAAATACTGATGCCTGGGCTCTACCCCCAGACATTCTGATTTAATTGATATTGGGTACAACTGGATACTGTGGGGTTAAAAGTTCCCTAGGTGATTGCAACATGCAGCAAGTTGAGGAATCACTGTGGTGGGGTGAGTTAAGTCACCTAATTCTCAATATAATGCTATGTTCACTAGTAATGGATGTAAGTGAGTACACATAATGTGAGGGAAAAGAGTACCTATTTTGCTGATAGAAAAACTGATCATTGTTGCAGACATAAATTTGGGACTGGAATACTCCACTCCTAATCCATTGTTCATGCTTGCTAGATTTCTGAGTCTTAGACAAGCTCCAGAAGGTGAGCCAAAGGCCCACCTCTGAGGAGCTCTTTGCCCGTTGCTTTTCACTTGATGTGACTCTGTGGTCCTCATCCTTTGAAGTGGGAATTATGATTTATTCTATAGCTATGAAAACTGGAATACCAAGGATTTGCCTGAGGTTAGCCGCTAACAAGAGCCAAACTGGGACTTCAACGCAGACTTGATGAGGGCAGATTCCAAACTCTTTCTATTAGATCACATTGCCAAGTGAACCTGGTCTCCAAAAATTGAGTTTAGAAATAGTTTTGGTACCTATTTTCCGGATTTATGAAGTTGTTGAGTCTAATCCAAATTAGCCTTAGAAATCCCAAATGAGGGAGAACAATGATAGAAATATTTTCTCTCTCCAGCAGGTGACTACACATCAAATCTGTACCACAGGACAGAAGGGGACTGATGTGCACGTAGAGGCTGCGTAATTTTTTCCTGTTGCCACCAAAATCCGATAAAGAGGAAATGGTTGCTAGTGGATCTCTGAGCCTTCATAGTTTTTTCTCTTCTAAATTTGGTAAATACATCATGCAGGGCATCATGAAAAAACATAGTTTAAGTCAATGTAATAACAAATGGTGTAGGGATTTTTTTCATTTTTTTGTTGATGAAGTCAAATTGATATCTGTGATTCCAGACAACTGGAAGACAAAGGCACACTCCTTTGTCTTATATTGTGTTACAAATATTTAACTTGGATTAATCTACATAATAGCAGCTGGAGGCTTTCTTGCAAGCTGAGGGAACTCAAAGGACTTAATACTATTTAACAATGTCAAATTTCTCTGTCAGGCAGAGTCTAAATGGGTGAAAAATTAGCAAGATGAGCCATAAAATGTCATTTTTATGGAGAAGGGAGATTTACTTCAAAACAATGTTTCAGTGTATAGTGTAATCTGTCATAGATTAGGTAACGTTCAGTGGGAGCCTGTAAGAGTTGCCTTTAGTGAGCTAAGCATTCTACCTTTCCTAGTTTCTCCCATTTGGCCTTGGCTTGGCTGGCTGGCACTCTTGGTTGCTAGGGTCAACTACAGCACTCCAACTGAGTTGCCGGAATCCCTATCTGCAGGCCTATCTAGGGCCCAGAAGTTGAGGGTCAGGTCCAACAAGAACACTCACAACCTGAAACAGCAGGCTAATTATGGAAACGAAAGCGTCCTGAAATGAGCTAAAGGAGGGGATTCCAATAGGAAATCATCCTGAGTTTTTAGCAGAGTGGCAACAATAGGAACTAGAAACAAAACTTCTGAAGAAAATCTTTTAGGTTTTAGTATACTTTGATTCTATTCTTGAACTTTTCACTTTTCTGAGGACTTTCAGAGGGACCTCCATCTGCACGTACTGAGTATTTGTTAGAATCCAGTGTTTTGTTGGACAGCAAGGGAAGCATCAGGGAGTAAGGCTTTGGGACAGGTGTCTGATGGAGGAAGTCAGAGAGACCCCACAGTCCTCAATAACCACCAGTTTATTGTTCTCAGAGTTGATCTGATTCATTAGATGGGAATGGCTTTTACTGAGAAGCTAGATCATTTTCAGAATATTCTGGCTATATCAAGAGCAGCTGCTGGAAACTGCATTTTTTCCATTCCTAATTTTGAGCCTCTGAATATTTCGCAGCAGACAGAATGTGCTTGACAACTGGAAGACAAAAGGCATGCTCTCCCTGCTCTCCCCGGGTTTGTGCTCCTTTCCTCATTGGCATGCAAGTCTTCTCCAGCTGGAGCTCTTATCAGTTTCTCTGAATAAACCTTTCTTTCCAGATTTCTTACCCTCTTTGTTCACTCTAACAATGGCCTTTGTAACCAAGGACAAAGTTAGGAACTGGTGACAGATTATCTTTAATGTTGTCAATGGCAAGTGACTTTGTGGTTGTTGTTGTTGTTGTTAATCCTCACCCGAGGATATTTTTTTACCCATGATATTCAGAGAGAGAAGAAGAGAGGGGGAGAGACAGAGAGAGAAACATTGATGTGAGAGAGGCACATTGATTGGTACCCTCCTGGGTGGGCCCCAACGAGGGCCAGGAATTGAGCCTGCAACCAAGGTACATGCCCTTGACCGGAATCGAACCTGCGACCCTTCAGTCTGAGGGACAACACTCTAACCACTGCGCAAAACTGGCTAGGGCAAGACAAATGACTTTTAAATTTGTGAC